AAAAAAACTCAACTATTTGGAAGATATGAAGGGAAACAGTGCTTCGTTTTCTTTGCTTCCCTAGCCACTTTGAGGTATCACTGAATCCGCTCATACGGATAGCCATAATAATAAAGCCACTAGAGCAGCAGATATTGGTGCTGAAGCGGAGTGAAAATAGTAGCGCTGCAAAAGAGGAGCAAACTTGGCAAGAACAACAAGGAGTCAACGTAGTAATCAGATTTTCCATGAGCTGCGGTTGTCCAACTCTTCGTCTCTTTCGTGACATATGCTCTCTTCCTCCCTCACCATCAAAGCTACTGCAGCTCCTACTGCCGTACACTAGTGCACTTCCGAAAAACCTTGTTGGGTTAGGACTTTTTGCTTAATGGAAAGCTCCACTATTCCCGTAAACTTGCTGAAATTCGCCAAACTTTTTCTTTTCTCTGTTTCTGTCATCGACAGACCCTCAAACAAGTTTCATAACAAACTCATTAACACCGGTTAATTACAAAGACAAGTACTTCAGATACAGAAAACTAAATAGATTTACACTAACCAAAGCAAATGATTTCTACATCATCCTGCAAATTATTTTAACTGCCAAAATTTATACCTTTATTGTAGCAAAAATTTCTTTTCTATTCTGCACGATTCAAAGTGTAGTTTACCAAACATTAAGTTATTGGAAAAATGGCATTCAAGTGATTTATAATTGCTTCTCGTCAGAAAGTTTTCTTTCTATCGTTTCTATTGTAAAATTTTTCATTTGTAAGCAGACAGGGAATTTTGGTTGTATGTGCCATCAGACCCATTAATTCTTTTAAAAAGAAACGTCTCTACAAAAATTGCAAAGTCTTAAAACATTTTTTGTGCAGATTCGCCGACTCCGAATCCCACTTTAAAAAAAGAAGAGGGTATTACTTTTGTAGAAGCCGCAGACACAATCACATTCCGTACAACTAGATTTTTGTGCTGCTTCATTCTTCTAAACTCTTCACACAAAAGTTGTATCCATTTGGAAAACCGTGCGCAATGTTTAGGGGACGAAATAAATGGTAAACAGAAACTTGGTACTGTCAACCAAGCGACAGCTAAACGAGTGACCACTTTCTAAATTTTCTCAGAACGCTCCAACTAATATGCCTCATTTAACTCGCAGATTTCCTCAAATATCTTTTTTAGGCTTACAGTAGCTAAACAGATGCTTATTGAAACAAGCGCTCTTAACTGTCCTTGTTTCTCAATTCATTGATGATCAAAATACGATTACAATGGAAGTCTCTTTCAACAATTGTTGTCTACTGTATCTAAGAAACTGTACAGCAATGCTACGGGTTAACTGCGATAATTCCAATCTTTTCCTTTCAGTTATCAGTAGTGATCAATCATTCGCATTTTCACTCGTACTAATTAGTGTAAAGCTAACAAATATCCGAGGCTTTCCTCCAATAAACTGTCTTATTTTGCTGCCCATAATAAATAAATAACGTTAACAAGGCTTGCAGCAGCACAGCAGTATCAATCCAGATGTCACAGCACTCTAAACCAGGCAAATACCATGTTACTAGCAAAACAAACATCATTATGCGGTTCCCCTCTGCAAGCTAAGAAGTGTAAAGCAGGGAATGGTTCGTTTTTAACCAGAGTTTGTTTGCCACATCAGCCTCCGCTATTTACAACTACAACAAAACTTAGATAAACTCTCACCCTTACCGCTACAGTACCGCAACACTCTTTAAACGAGCAAATGAAAAACTTATCACTATTAAACAACAACAACAATCTTTAATCCTACTGTTCCAGTTACGTATAAAAGTTAAACTTTTGAATTTTGACGGGCCATCTCATCAATAATAAAAATTATTCACGGCGATAACAGCCACAGTAATATTGACTTATTACGCGAATGCTATCCTAAAACGGGACAAAACACAAGATTAAATCATTTTCACTGACTACTTAACTGAACAATAAAACGATGGGAGCAAATATGATTCAAATTAGGATAACAAAACGACAGTTAACATGCTCGAGTAAAACGTAACCCGTATGTTCCTCTGACCATACATTTGAAATAAATGGATTTGAAGCCCTAAAAAGCAGCAGTAAAAGAAAAAAATGCAGAGGTAATGAAAGGTACAAAAAGGTCAACAAAGTCGTAAGAAAAATGAGGCAAAACATCACAATCCGACAGTAACAACTAAAAGTGAAAGTAAAACAACAAAGCAGTTTTTTTTCACCTACCCTGAAGTTCCAAAAATATACTAAACAAATGATCAACAATGCTGAATTCCTATTAAAGCTTATTATTGCCTGCCAGAAGCAACTAGCCAGAAACATTAAGTACATCTCAGAAGAACATTTTGCAGAAATGTAGGAGTAAAAATAGTGCAATTCAAAGGAACTAAAACCAGTAAGCTAACAACAAAGCAAATAATCAGAAATTTCCTCTTAAACAATAACAAATTTCTTACTTTTCGTCGATCTAGAAAACGAGAACAGCTCAGGAAAACAACTATTATTTTGAAAAGGTGACACAAAAACAAAATGTAAAATCATGAGCTCTTATAAAAATAAAGACAATTATCCCAAAAGCACTCCCTTCTAAGAAACTAAAGCTTTATTTGCTTTCCACCACGCCTTTACTTTGTCGTGTCCGCTGTCGACAACTACTATAAGACGCTGCACATCATCTTTCCACAAGAGAATACCTGAAACTTCATGATGGAACCCCTGCCAAATCTGGCTCCAGGAAAGAAAATCATGACTAAGTATCCCGCGCTAGATCGCATACCGATAAGAGTAAAACGTTACTAGGGCTTGAACTTCTGATTCTGAAATCACGTGTCAAAGCCAAATTCCACCTAACAAAAATGCACAATGAGGAACGCATTCTACGTCGGAGTACGGAAAAACAGTTCAGACTTTTTTTATTAAAGTAGCACCATTTAACATGGAACTTTTTTCACTGAAGAGGATGTTTAATTATATCTTCATGCAAAAAGCAATAGTCAAAAAGAAAAGATATAAACTTTTAAAAACAGACCTCAAAATAAAGAAGCTTAGGTTAGATGAGAATCTGCTATACAACAAAGCTTGATTTCTCGATAAGAAACCTACATATGACAAACAAAATCTTCTTAAAATACCAGTTACTTATATCCTACGCTCTGCAACTTCCAAGCTATCCAAACCAGAAATATTTACACCAAATATTTTTGAACAAGTAATCCTCAATCCCAATAATTAACAACTTTGTAAAAAAAAATTAATTCTTTTTTCGAATGCCCCAGAAACACAGCAAGATGAACACTAGAGCCTACTAGATCTAAATTTCTAAAAACCGTAAGAGTTTATACAAAAAAGTGGTCAATTTTTAGAGAAGAAACTCAGAAATGACTGTCCATAAGTAAAAATAATGTTTAACAATAATTTTTTCTAATATTTCTTCGCTATGAAAAAATGCGTATATGAATTGTCAGGATGTAAAATATAAAAATGTAAACTGACAAGTTCAGCTTGAACATGTGTCCCCTCATTTGAAAAATAGAATAACTCTTCCGCAAAATGCATTTCCTCAAGCATACTTTTTGTTTCAAGCAGCTCGTTTCAAATCATCACTTAAATTGAACTAATTTAATCATTGAAACAATGAAGGTAAAAGGAAACTAAGAAACGTATGCAATCCAGCAAAGACACAAAACGCCACTTATTAATGATTAAAAGAGTATGTAAATGATGAACAACGAGAGAAATCAGTTTAAGATTGCCTTCTGTTTTAGCGTAATCTTTAACACCATTATATTCCTTTTCTGATTCGAAACTGGAATATATGACTGCGTCTGTGAATGTCAGACGCCTACGTTCATCTTCCCACAAACGGATTTGATCGACGACTGTTACGGGAACAGCTTGTGTTACACCTCCGGAGGCTGCAGAGGCCGCTACAGATACTGGATGAGCATTCGCACGGAGGAAAGATATAATCTGAGATGCTGTAATCCCAACCTTAAAAGATCCCAAAAGATGAGAACTTTCAAACGCCTGTCCACTTTAAGTAATCAAAACCACACTACACTATGTAGTAAGACAACTACATCCATTTTAGTAACCCATCGTTTCGAATATAGGAAACCTCTCACCTGTAGCGCACGACGTACGGCATCGCGAGAGATGATTCCAACTGACATATCCTCAAACCTACAGCACATTAGAAGATCATTAGTTGACAAAATTCGATTA